ATAAATCGAATGTAAAAAAAAAAAAAAAAAAAAAAAAAAAAAAAAAACGAATAATACAAAATAAAATGCAAAAGCGGCCGCCCAAGGAGACACCAGCGAAGAACGACACAACGGGACTCACGACTCGACCCTGGCTTGCAATCGCAGACAGGAGCGAGACACGGGGGGGGGGGGCAGGGGGAGGAGAAAAAGAAGAAGAAGAGGTGGAGGAGGAGGAGGAGGAAGAAACAGAAGAGGAAAAGGAGGAGGAGGAGGAGCAGGAGGAGGAAGAAGAGGAGGAGGAAGAAAAAGAACAGGAGGAAGAAGAAGAAAAAGAGGAGGCGGAAGAAAAAGAACAGGAGGAAGAAGAAGAAAAAGAGGAGGCGGAAGAAAAAGAAGAGGAAAAGGAGGAGGAAGAAAAAGAAGAGGAGGAAGAAGAAAAAAAAGGAGGAAGCAAACAAGAAGATGATTAAGAAGAGGAGGAGGAGGAAGAAGAAAAAAAAGAGGAGGAATAGGAAGAAAAAGAAAAAGAAGAAGGAAGAGGAAGCAGAAGAGGATGATGAAGAAGACAAAGAAGGAGGAGGAAGCAAAAAAGAGGATGATTAAGAAGGGGACGAGGAGGAAAAAGGAAAAGAGGAGGAGGAGGAACAAGAAGAAAAAGAAGGAGGAAACAGAAGAGAAGGAGGAAAAAAGGAGAAGAGGAAGAAAAAGAAGAAAAGGAAGAAGAGGAGAGGAGAATAATACAATGGGGAACAGAAGGTAGAAAGAGAGCAAAATACAGAACAGGAGAAGAATGCGAAGGAGGGAGGAAGAAGAAAGAAGAAAAGAGGAAAAGACGAAGACAGAGAGAGAGAGAAAAAAAAAACATTTGAAACTACCGAAGAACCCAAGAAACAATCCGAAGAAGAAACCGAACGGCCGAAAACGAAAGCCCCGGCGCGGGACCGGCAGCCGGCATGCCAGGACGCATCCCGAGCGCCCGACCTTGCGCCCGGCATCCCACCGCGACCTCCGATGCCAGCGCTATCTCGGGGGGACATCTCGCCGCCGCCCAGAATCCCGATCCTAACGGCCGGGATAAGCAAACGGGACGGCCCAATCATATCTATATCTGTGTTCTTATCTCTCTTATTTATCATTTCATTAAAGGTAGATTCTTTGGTATCTCTCTTCAAAATGTCCATCTATCTATTTATTTATCTATCGATTTCTAGATTTGTTTTTTCGCTATCTATCAATTTCGCATCCGTCTCTCGCTTTTAATCGATTTCCTACATCTCTCTTTCGTGATTTCTCCTATCCGTCTAACTTTCTGTCTAGACATTCTGGTATCTATC